AAGTCTGTGAGACTAATGACTGCAGAGCTAAACTGGGCAGTCGTAAGAATCCCGCGCGGTCATGCAAGGCAATCCTCGAGGATGACCCGTGAGTACAAAGCTACGGACACACGGTGCAGCATATGCAAGAAATTTTGCAGGCAATTAATATTGATGTTGCGAGGCATTTCACACGATGCAATTTATTGCACGATATGTTGTTGAAGAAGAAAACGGTCCTACTTCAGCATTTAACATTGTCTGCAATATTGCTTGCACGCAATGTTGCACCATGCGTCTGCTGTCTGCGCCTTAACTCTATTCATTACTACATAGTTAGGTATCATAAACAACAAGAAAGCTTAAGTGACAATTATGATGACGGCAAATAAAAAACGATAATAATAAGTCTTTCGTTCCTTGGTTTCACTAGACGTCAATTACCTGCATCATTAGGAATGTTCCTCTGCTCAATTGTTTCAAGTTTCCAATAGAATGTTTTATTTTACTGCCTGACAATACATGGTGGTCAAAGGTTGACTACCTTTAGCAACTGTTAACGATACGATTCACAGATTGATCAACGCATTTAAATATAGGAACTGCCTAGTATGTTACGGGAAGCGCATTGGTCAATCAGCAGCCCTACCTCCATTTTTCAGCTCAACATGTTTTCTGCCCTATTGTATAGCAGAATTTTTCCAGCGTCCCTTTTCCAAATGTTTTATTTCAGATAAAATATCATGAATCTTCCTTGTTATTTTCAATACTATCAATTGTATTATTAGATTTGCCAAGAGTGGTGTTTTCTACATCATTACCAAGCCATACGTCACCAAGGTCTACTGTTACATGGATTACATCCCCGGATGTGGTGGAGGAGGCTAGACTACCATCATGAAGACCGATGGTCACAAGGTAGTACAATATTACATATTGAGAAAATCTATATTTGTGGAATAGAGTTTTAAGTGACATCCATCGATTGCAGCAAACTTTCAAGTACACCTCAGCCCTGTGGGTCAATAAAGAACCATATAACATGCCTGGAGGCGAATTAGGTGTGGATAACCAAGAAACCAAGTTGCCTACCTATTGGACTATGCCCTTCAATAGTCTCTGTCTGGGAATGAAAACCAGTGGGAACACAAGTGAACCAAACTGGATACGCCTGAAATATAGGTAAGATACAAAAAACGTGCGTTCCTTGTGAATACACCTGTTATCATGAATTGACTGAATGCCCAAACAATGAAAATAATACCCAAAAAATCTAGTTCGCTCTTTGCACTTTTCAAGAATTTTTCGTTTTCTGACAAAGACTAAAAGGAATTCGCCCATTGAGAACCAAGTCAAAAGTTCATTTCAAATCTTAAATCCAAACTTACTAAATATAATGAGCGCATACATTTTTAGGGCAAGTTCGCTGTACTCTGTGATCGCAGACGGACGTTACCGCAGTTTCTCGATTGGTCGTAACGCGTGGAAGTCTCTCATCCCGGACTCTTCTCTGCAGAAATACTGCAACAAAGAGGGCTTCAATAACGTTGCAAACCAACGACACGTCCGCATTGGTATCCTGAGTAACGAGCAGAATCACTGTGGATCTCCAGACTCTCTGATCGGGTTTGGAATAACTGGTCCTATGCCGGACGAATACTGTCACACTGATGGGTCTATATCTTCTGGTAATACCGCAGGATGCGAGGCTGATAATGGGGTGAAGAACATCGCAACCCATGGTTACATACTGGCACAGTAGACCAATGTTCAACATGAACCCATGCAGGGAAGAAATTATCAGTAAGGTGTTGGGTATAATAAAATGATGTAGGGTAATAATCTAAAGTAGAAATGATGTCGCTAAAATGCAAGATTGAAGTAAGGTGTAATAAAATAAGTTGTTGTCATGATGAGATGATATGTAAAGTAATAATAGAGGGAATCGAAGTGACGTTGCCTGCTTGCCTGCTTGCCTGCTTGCCTGCTTGCCTGCTTGCCTGCTTGCCTGTACATGAAGTTCAGAGTGAATTCACCAACTGGATTTACTTATAAACTACATGGTAACATTTAAAAAATCATAAATGCCGGACGTAAAAGAAGAACATAAAATTTAATAGCAACTACTTCTTGCTTTCTTTAACTCATGCCTCTTACAAACTCTAGACTTTTCGCACAGAAGCAAATGATGCAAAAAAAAATCAATAATAATGAAATAAAGTATTGCTCTGAGGACGAAATTGACGATATTCAATCCTACCCAATGACCAAGWGTGAAAAACATTTGCGCATGCTCCGTGTCTACCTGCATGCGAATTAGCCCAAAATGCCTTGTGCTATTGTAAAAAATCTATAAATTTGATTTTCATACTAGCCAGACAAATGGCTTTACGAAAGCCAAGGCTGATTATTTCATGTTGCCTTGTTGACATAGCATCTTGGTCTCACAAAAGAGTTTTCGGCAAATGTTTTGATATATTTCGGAGAAAACGAATTTCTATTTAATGGTTTCGATGAACGTTAACCCTTCTAAAACTTATCATTTTCCCTGCAGAATGAGTATTCAAATCACCAATATCTTTTTAAGGTGCCTTATTCAAGAACTGCTACTTTTGGGAACAGATCTTTCTCTGTGTTTGCGCTGCCCCAAAGCTATGGAACAATTTACCGCATGACATAAAGACTTAAAACTTATTTTTTCAAACAACGATGTGACGTTAAATAACATAATACGAACATTCTTCTTATCTATTATGCCTGTATAAAAAATATTTTAATTTTAGTTCATTATATATATATCTAATCCTTTCTGCTTTATAGCATTTTATCACATTTTGTATTTTTTATTTTTTATTACTAATACATATTAAATATATTTAGCATTTGAATACAGCATTTTTGTTAGACTCTCTAAAGCACCTAAAGCTACATTGTTCAGTAAAGATTATATTTCTAATTTTTATCCTAACTCTCATGCATGCCTTTATAAACACTGATCATAGAAAGAGAAAGCAGTATTTGAGCTATATGAACATGCTTGAAGTCACAATTCAGTTATTCGGATGCGTTTCAGATCAGGCACTGACTTGAATATTTTTAACTACTTAAAAGTTGGGCTGTCATAGTCGCTCAGACGGGTTTTCCGTGTTTCAAGTTTTTTCACGTTAAGAAGAGCAAACAAGATCCGACCTTTGAATATTAGAAATTTGTCTCTTGCCACATATGTTAGTTGTACGCAACAGTAGAGGAAGACTGACCTGGAAAAACGTGATCTTGAGAACTTCAAAATTAAGGTAAAGTACGCATCATTTCAGTCCCGTTCTTGTATAAGTAAACTATTTTTAAAGTAAACCCTTTATTAGTATCAGATTTATTCTGTCGATCGTTCTTTCGCTCATTCAGGCGATGATGGAAAAGAGCGGCATACTTCTGATTTTGGCGCTTTTTTCTTCACTACAAGCTCTCTCTGTTGTGCGGAAGTAAGTCAATCAGATATATTGTATTTATATACTGTATATGTATTTACCTCCTCAATCGCAAGTCTCTGTAAATAAAAGCGGCCCACTGCATTTGGGGTCAGATAATAGGTTTTCCTCAAACTTTCACCATAGAAAGGTAATTATTAGTAGGTAAGGATAATGACTTTATTTTCTCGAAATTCATCAAAATGATTTTTTTACAGCCCAGTGAAGTAAAAAACTCAGCGAAGTAAAAAAAGTTTTGCCATAAACGCTTTATGATTCTCAGCTAACTGGTTGACTGAGTACCTCCATAGCATAGAAGACCAGCATTCGCATATTCAGATCTGAATTAAGAAATGATGAATCAAGTCGTCCTTGCTTTAGTCCATTTTAGTAACCACTTAGAGCCACTTGTAGCCACTTAGTGGTCATACGTTTAATTTTTTTATCTCGACAAATATAATATGGAATTTTCCTCATATGATCATATTTTCTACTATTTTTCACCCAAAGTAAGTTGTTTTCATTAGGTATAAATCCCTAACTAGTAATCTTTTATACGTACGCCAAAACGACAAATAAATATTCAGTGGAAACTAGTTTCGTTTAATTCAACCTCTTCAGTCCACTGTATTATGATCCGTTAGGAAAATTACAATCACGCGAACAAACACTAAGGGGCGCGCCCTCTAATCAAATTAATTGATTGTTAAGCATCTACATCTACATCTAGTTGGATTTGACTAACGATTAGTCCTCTCGCTTTATGTGTCCTATGAGTCAATAGCCCAGCATTCAATAGTCAATGGCTTTTGCCTCATCGGCCCATTCGGTCTCATTGTTAATTAGTTTTGACTGAAACTCTTGTTCATAATTTTTTTTTTCGGTTAAAGGAGCCGATCAATCGCGCGCGATAAAAACGGGACTGTCTACATCACGTCTGGCCTACACATCGTTCTACAACCAGGACATGGAGGACCGGTAATCATCAACTCAGGT